TGCGGGCGTCGCTGAGACAAGATGCACATGCTTGTTCTAAAACCAGCAAATTTCCGTGACGTATTTTTTGTTTTTTTTTCTTGGTTTCTTTCTTTCGCCTCAGCGAAACACAGGTTTTGGTGAATCACACTGGAGCGTCGCACACGTTGTGACGGGGGCGCATTCTGGTAAGTGCAAAAACCCAAGCGGTGCGCACGTTTGGCTGCACTGTGAGCGCGGTGACGTCCAATTTTGCTCCTCCGGTTATCGGTCCGGCGGGAAATTTATGTATATAAGAAGTTGGTCATGCTCTGGCATATTTTATTCACATGAAGGTATGCTTGGGCAACGGCATCGGATGGAAGTCCACGCGCACACACACCCGCAAGCAAGCACAGAAGCGTGACACGCAGACATGCACCACTCAAGACACATATACACACAGACCGGTCAACTTGGATTGCAGGACGGCTTTATCACCCTACAGTTCTACTCCACCGATGAGCAGCTCAGCACAGGAAACCAGGTCTTAGATTGAATGACTGCTTTGCTTGCGGGAGAGGTGATGCACCCAAGTAGCCTCGAAGTCAGGCCTGATCCCCCCAGACCTAAGCAGTAAAAGAGCCCCAGATAAGAGATTTACCCACTGCATGCTCATCATGGGTCAAAGTGGTACCCATCATGCATGCTAATGAGCCACAGGTAGCCTGGAGGCCGACCTTCCTTGATCACTTCCGACATGTTGTGAGCATTCAAAGCACCAACAGCCATGGGCGTACGGCATCGCACACTTCTTGGCCGTGGGAATTGGGCTACACTTCTTACTCATGCACGCGTTTGTTGGATCACACTTGCACCGAGAAACTCAGAGAATCTAAAGGGCTTCACTTCAGCAGTGCCAGTGAAGCTTTTGAACCCATGCTTCGCTTTTGGGGCATGGCCGGCGTTGGTTGGGACCTCAGGCCAATTGAGCAGCACCTCACAATCCGGAAGTTTGCCAACTTAGGAGAGCTACTTATTGCTTGGCGTCACGATATTTATTGGAGAGTATGGCATGGCTGATCAGAATCCAAATTGCTATCACCATCTTGGTAGAATGGATGCTGCTCAATTACAGTCACTGGTCTTTGAATAGTACTCTACCGTTCTGGGGCACTGCTTCAGCCTTATGACAGCTGTAACGGAGCTTGCTTTTCTCTTTCCACCGCCCTTGGCCCATGCGCGCTTTCGGCTCGTGCCCAGTCCCTTCAATGTCGTGGCCACGCGGACTGTTCCGGCGGCTTTGACGCGGTTTGGGTTCGTCGATGCAATACCCAGGCAAAGGACCCGGGGAATTACAATTTGCACCCCACGCACTATCATCATACTATAAGCATTTCAGAATTTATGGCTAGAAGAACTGTAACTTCAAATTGCGCAGGTGGGATTTCAGAAGCCCTTTCAATACAAGGTGCCCTGACCGCAGATTTTTCCCCACAAGTATGAGACCCCGGATTTGCTGCTGTCCCTTCGGGGAAGAGGCCAGTTGAATCCCACTTGGCCATGGAACCACTCCGGCTGCATAAACAGCGCGGGATGTTGACTCTTGACAAATTGATGCATGTGGCGAGCTGCTCACTGAGAATCCTGCGTAGTGCTTGTATATATTTTTTCATCATCTCTGTGCAACTTCATGGGGGGCCGCATTTAAAACTGGGGGCAGCAGTGGTGGAAGTGACAAAATTGGTCGATGGAGGGTGATGGCTGCCGAGACTTGTTTGGCCAGCTTTGGTTGCCGTTGCCCGTCCGAAAAGGCCAGCTGGTCATTTTGTCATGGAAAGGGTGTGTACAGGTGTACGGGTCACCAGGTGGAACCTCGCGTTAGATCAAATACAATTTGAAAGAACTGCTGTGAAAGGCCGTGCGAAGATGTGTGGAGCCGATAGCCATGTTTTGCAGACGTGCCGCTCACAAGGCGGGTAATATAGCAGGACGGCCTGCTTGTATGGGCTGTTCATCACAGTAACAGTCTTAGAATCTTGGATGATTTGTCCGGAGTGCATATCCAGGAAGTGTCAGGCCACCCTTTCTGTTGATGTTTGCTCACACTCAAGCAGACAGCAAAGGTCCGTGCCATCTTTCAGAAGAACCTGAACCCCTTGGAGGGCGACAACGCTGGCAGCTGAGGTTCACTTCGCATGCCGCGTTTAGACACCCAAATTGGCTCGGTCCAAGGGCGATGGTCGCAAGGCACTGGGACCCCAATTGGCTGCTTTCATCGGTGCTTTGCACACATTTCCCGTACTCAAACCATTTCCCACGAAGACAACACGAATTACACTAAATTTCAAATGTTGTTGAGGGTTGGCTTGAGGTTTGGTGAACAGGGAGATCAAAAGATAAACCGCATGTGTTTTGATGTAGTTTGACCCAACACAAGCGCGGTTGAATTGAGGAAATTCAAGCTCCCACAAATAATAAGAATTGAAATAAACATAGAAACGATTGAAATTTACTAATGACCGATCTTTATTGTGTGTGTTTTACGAACCAGACAGTTATGAACCACGCAGCTAGTTTGAAGCTTCCACGGACATAGTGTTCCCCCAAGATGGTTGGTTTCTTTGGACCCTTGAAATGCCAAATGGTTTCCTCTTTGCTTGGAACCCCGCAAGGGCGGCTCAACCGGTACGTCCTGAGATCAGCCTCAACATCTCCAGCTGGCGGTCGGTGGTCATGGCAAATGCTCGGAAGCCGAAGCGTATCGAAGCGTGCCGCCTTCACCTCCATCAGGGCTGTGCTTTCGGGTGGCGAAGGACCCGTACTCGATTTGGGGTGGGGGAAAAAAAGAGAGACCAAAAGGAAGCCACAAATCAAACACATTATATATAATATGGACAAACATGATACCACAAGGGTACCGCCAATTTTGACAAATATGAAGCATGCGCTTCCAGATGCAGGCCAAGCTTGAGTAAGGCCTTCGCGGGTCCTTAACTAAGGGCAGAAAGAGCTTGCTTGCGAAGACGAGCTTATCCATGATGAATGCTTACTTGGGGACGGATCTCTTTTTTCTGGTTTGTGAAGTGTGGCAATGTGCCCAGATGAATGCATTTCACTCCTGATTCACCATTTCGACTGGCGTGTTCCTTTTCTTTGGCTCTCCATCCATGTTCCAGCTCCAGGAATGTTACAACCAACGAAGGGACCGTCGCATGGAAGTAGTCACGGCACCAGGCCAACCGAAAACTCCTTAAAGACTCTTCCAACCAACTTGCAGCCTGAGAAGGCATCCTATGTTGGCATGGTTTGGCTTTCCTCTCGGTCACTTTGACGGAGCCTAATTTGAGGTGGGATTTAAAGCCCTTTTCATCGTCCCGACTCACCCGACCTTTTGTGGGCGGCGTTTGCCACCTTGTTGTGCCTTTTGGGTAAATATCTTCATGGTAGCAGGGGGTTCTATCGAGCCTCATGGTAGCCCTTGGCATGAGACCGCCACTGGCGCACAGCCCGCAAGGGGTTGCAAGGTGATGTATCAGCAGCAGAACGGCTCTTACTCGCAGCGGGTCAGGGGCTCGGGCGATTTGCACGTAGAGCATGGGCTCTTCAGGGCATCCTAAGCTTTGGCTTGCTGCCCACCTGCATGATGCTGGTCCAGGGGCCACACGCTGAAAAATCTCCGCCGATGTCTAGCCAGTGATGTGCCGCGCCTGGGTCACAACGATCACACTAAATCAATCAAACGCATAGAATCGTAGATGTTGCTAGAAGCTTGCTGGCGTAGTGTCGCTGACCTCAAAGCAACAACTTGAGGCAGACTCACCCCCCCACCCCCCACCAATGAACAAAGCAACAACTTGAGGCAGACTCACCCCCCACCAATGAACAAAGCAACAACTTGAGGCAGACTCACCCCCCACCCCCCACCAATGAACAGAACAGTGAAGGGCCTAACCTGGGACGGTCCCCTATCAATCAACTACGGGCTCGGCTTGAGCGTATCAAAGGCAATGCCTCCTTGGCTCCTTCCAGGTTTATGCTCATTTGTTTGTGCGAGTGCCGGCCTTTTACGGTCCTTTTGCATACTCGAAGTCACCAACAAAGAATGACCGGATGATGCCTCCCGATCAATGTCATGCAAAAGAAAGAACACCCACACACACACACACACACACACACACACACACACACACACACACACACACACACACACACACACACACACACACACACACACACACACACACACACACACACACACACACACACACACACACACACACACACACACACACACCCTCCCCCACCCGCACCCCCACCCACCCCCACTCAAAAAAGAAAGAGAGTGCCGAAGGGACGTTTGGCGCTGGGTACCCGTTAGGGTCAGAGCCCAGGTCGCCAGCGCGATGTGGGACCCTTGGACGAAGCCTTTGCTGGAGAAGTCTGTGCCTCAGGCTGCCACCCTTGTGGCCCACGTTGGGCGGGTTCACTTTTGCTAGCCGGATGCTAAATGGGTGGCGACTCATGTCCATCAACCACTCTTGAGGTGGTCCGACTCCAGAATTGTTAGTTTCCGTAAAAGGAAACCGAAAGGGGATAGACAATTTTCAACATGTCGCAGGCCCCTACCCGGATGCATGGCACAACCTGTCATCCCCTTTGGCCAACGGGCACAAAATGTTTCCCCACACTCCCCATGTTCCATGCCTGGCACAGGTGCTTTTCCAATGCGGCGATTTGCGATCCCGACATCGGCAAGGGCACAGGCGCAGCAAGGAAGGCGAGAGGTGGAAAGGCGGAAAGGCGGAGATGTGACACGGGCCACCCCCCCGCCTCTTTGGCTTCGGTTGTGGGGATTTGAAGCCAAACACCTATGTGACCATTAAAGGTGGACTGATGCCCTTTTGGCAAGTCGGCGTATGTCCTTTTCTGTGATTTTCCGGAGCTTGAAATTGACATGTAGCTTGAGGACTCTTGCAGGCTTGGCCATGAGTTTTGTGGGACAGCAGAACCTGGCCTCATGAACAAAGTTGCAGCCTAGCATGGTGCGTTAGCTAGCGGCATGAGCTGTTCGGACGTGCACAGGGCAATCTGATCCCAGAGCAAAAACAACGCGGCGGATGCCGTAACGTGCTGCGGCCTCACCCGAAACCGCTCATCCCTTTTCTTTGACAGCACATTGCTTGTCCCCTGTCAGTTTACCAACATTAGATGTCTACAGAAGCAGTACTGTTGCTATTCTACACCTACCCTTCCCACACCACAGGAAGACGCGAATATATTCCTGGCTCGCATGGTTGACGGCAGATATGCTCCAGCGCCTGCCAGCAACCACACTCCAGTTGCCAAACGCTCTGACAAACCATTGCGCAGAGTTACGCGAGGCCTGTTTTATTAGAAGCAACATGTACCTTCTAGAGTTGCTTTTTTGCAATGCACCCTGTCCTGTGCATCGGACGGCGTGATGACATGTACAAGACCAGCTCCGGGTCGCACATGCCGTCGCTCAATCGCACTTGTGCGTTACCATATTTTTGCAAACCAGCCCTGCGCTCAAAGCACACACTCGACTGGGAGGAGGGTTGGGCCAATTTGTGTCCTGGTCGCGTGCATGGCATCGGTTGGCATTGCAAAGGCGCGAAAAATGCAGGCCATGCAACGAACAGAAACAAGTCGAGCAGCGTGGCTTCAACTGGTCACGTCCTTGCACTTTGCAATAAGTGGACCTTTGATGTTGCCCTGCCACTTCTTGCGTGTGGTGAGTCTCCCCCAGCGAACGTAATTAGCAGACCAATAAAATCGAAATGGCGCCCTCCTTTTTCCCAAATCCATTTCACTAGAATTTTGGGGACAAAGCGGATCTGCTGGCTTGTTGAATGATTGCGGATTCCATCACGAACACAGCCTGTTGCGTGTAGAGTTGTTGTGAGGATTCTCCCAACCTTTGCTTACATTGCGGACATCAGATAGGAGTGGCTAGACAGTCAAGTCCTACAATCGCTACTGCAACTTGCAGCCCCGTTTTTGGCCATGAACCAAGCCTTACCGTAGAAGTGGATCCACTTCTGGTCCGGTGGCGACCGTGGCCAGGCGGGAAGTTCAAACTGTGGGACTTTCAGGTGCGGAAGCAGAAATTGGGCCGTCCATGACGGAACCTGGGTGGGGGGGAGGCAATTGTTCCTCTAAAAGGGGCCCGTTGGTGGGTTTTGGTGTGCATGTCTGGGGTTCCGTAGGCGCGTCCCAGCTCGGAACCGATATTGCGAAGTCAGAGCAAGCCTTTTCGGTACGACTGGGCCAAGTGAAGCCCTGCCCCCAGTTCAGTTGGCTTTTTCGTTGCCACGCCCCTTTGCCACTGGGCAGACACGGCGATGCTTAATTCTTGGAGCTTGGGGCGTCCTTTCGGTTGTTCAGTAGTGCTTATTATTGCAAGCGGATGACATGGGCACACTCGCCAACTTGCTATTGGACAATGGCATGTGCTTCCGAGTTTCTCACAGAAGGATGCAATGAACATTGACCGTGGGTTAGATCGCCAGGCAGCATTCCTTTTCTCGTTCGACCTGTTTTCGCAAGCCTGATGCAGGGCCTGTTCAGCCATTTTGTCCTAGAGGTAAGCACCAATGCCTCAGATGCCCTAAGCCAAATCCAATCCACGGTCTCCAAGCCCGACAGGCTCGACAGGGATCTCTTTGGTGTTTTCCTGGTTCAGGTTTCCTAAATATGGACTCTCCTTCTAACACAACCCAACATGTTTGGACAAAGGCTGTAGTTGAGATAGACACTGCGGTCGCACATTCTGCGTGGTACCCGCCAGGACCTCATGGATGACGGCCTGCCGAAGGAAGGCTGCTACCTGGAGCCGCCTGTCTGAGTTGAGAAGCGTTCCTTTTTGGCTTCGAAAGTCGCGAGGAGTTTCTGCTTCTGCGTTTAGAGTGCAAAGGCTGCCAAAGTATTTGGCACCAGGCTTTTTGGGATTTCATGTGTGACTGTGTGTAGGCTCAGGCAGAGGAGATTCCGTGGGAATACTACAAACTGCGTGCTAATGGCAGGACATTCTTGCGGAAATTCTGCCAAAGCCCCGCCCAAGCTCGCCTCTTTACTGCAATTCCCTGCCAGTTCAAGCCATGCCAAATGTACCCCGGCATGTTCCCATGAGTTGTTGAAGCAGGTCTGAACAAGCCCAAGCCCGCAAAGGCACCGTGTAACGATGTCTTATGAAAGCCACCGGCCTCATATCCAGGTCGGTAACAATAAACTTTGACCGTTGCTCATGGAAGTAGATCCTTGCCCGCAGCTTGATTTTGATCGCTCATTTGTCCGCATTCCTGCCCAGATATCACTTCCCAGAAGCCTTGCAAATGCCACATTACAATTCCCCACCAGCTTTCTCAGATCATGTTAGTGAGTGGCCATGCCTGAACAGGCTTTGGCCCGCGCGTTCTGAGTGCCAAGGACCCGCGTGAACTTGACACCCTTCAACGGGCCAAGAGCTTGGTCGGTCCTTGGGAGGGTTGTTGCAAGACAGCGGCCTCAAGCGTTTAGTCTGGTTGCATCCGGAGTCGTTATGGTCTCCTGCGGGTAGAGATGTTATAGCTCCTCATGGCACCCTTGGTCATTTCAAGAAGCGTGCCCGATACAAGCTTCGCTTGTGTGCTTTGTGAATGACAGGCATGATGTTGTTTCAACCTTCGGGCACCTAGGTGTGTTTTCTCCTTTTGTCGGGTTAGGAATAAAGAGTGAGCCCGAAATAAAGACACGTGGGTGGCACGATAAAATTAATAAAGGCACCTGGAACAAAGACAAGCACCCCCCCCCCCCCACCCCACCCCCCCGCGGCAATCCTCAAAATAGAGCTCCGGCAATATTAAAAACAAATTGAAGCTCAATTCCAAACTCAAAAGGAAGCAACAGCAATACCAAATCAAATGGACGCCCATACAGATTAAATGAACACTCAAATCCAACCTTTAAAGGAAGCTCTAGCAATATTCAACAATCGAAGTGGGCCAGATTTCATCTACACACTTCCTTTGGTTGGGGGTTCCCTTACTAAACCCGGATCGTTGCCTATTTGTAGACACTGGGACTCCAGCATGAAGATCCCTCGACCGAAGGGAGCGAGCCCTGGACTGAGGTTGTTGAGCATGCAGATGACTCATTTAGGCCAAGCTCTCAGCTTCCCAAGAGATGCCGCAGACCAAGAGGTTGACATTGACACCCTCAGCACTTGGCAGAGCCAAGCATTTGGCATTTGGCTTGTGGCATGTCAGTCCTGGCCGCCTGGCCGCCTGGCGTCCTGGCAGCTGTTCAATCCGAAGTTGGCTTTGGTTCTGTAGTTTCAGCTTGGGGCCAGGTTCGGTTTACTTTAGGCAGACTTTGATCATGACAATTTGTCCTGCTGGCGGTGGCATGGTTGGGCAAATTCAGCAGCCCACCGGGCCGTTTGCAAGCAGCCAGAAGTTCACAGATGTAGGCATGCCCCGAAAGTGGTTGGTTCAAACGTGAGAGCATGATGGAGAACAGTTAGACATGTTGACCTGCTTGTCTTCCCCAGGTCCTGTATGGGTGTGAAGCACTAGCTTGAGGCTTTGTGAAGCATACGTGATTTGCACGCTGGCTGGTGGCTACGCTTCAGCCTACGTGATGAAACACATATCTTAAAGCCTTGTCGCATTTCCTACCCACGTTCAGTCCCCTTGCAAACAAATCCACGGAACATACCCCGTCCCTACTGATGAGATTGGCCAAGGTTTAGGCAGGAGGCGGTACAAAGTGAGTTTCAGTTTCCCTCGCGAATCAAACATTGAGCTTTGCAAGACCCTCAGCCCTGGCATGAAGTGCCATCCCAACCTTTCCTTGATTCGTTCGCTGAATTGTTGTTCAACAACGTAACCCAGATATGTTTGTTTATGCAAAATATTGTTACACAAACAAATTAATTCTACTCCTGAATAAGGAGCTATCGGACTCAATCCGATGGCTCCGCTGAGATGGTTTGCACTTCTCAGCCCGAGTGGACACGGGAGGTCCTAAGCCTGTGCTGGATGAGCGGGACGCAGGGATGCCCAGTATGCAGTATGGAGGACCTACAACCGAGGTGCGAAACTTGGGCACTTGTTTGGTGAAGTTTTGTTGGGATCAGCAGAACTCTTGTCCAATGCTGAGGCCAGGAATTCCAGGAAATGTATCCTTTTTCCCTTGGGCAACCAGAGATTCTCTTGGCCTGGACCGGCGTGGGACCCACCAGGTCCCGGTTTTGCAGTCGCCCCGCCGGCTCGACCAGATTTACAGCCGAGGGAAGATGTTTACCAGCTCTCATCAGAGACGTTGGCCAAGCAGCTTAGCATGGGCACCGGACCCACATACAACGGTAATTCTTCAATGGCTGTGCCATCGGGCATTCATTCATTTGATTTGTTTCCCGGCCAAACAATGGTCCTTGACTTGAGCAGCAGCGGTTAAGGCAGGATCCAATATGATGCGTGCTTTTCTGGGGGAACTTTTTTGTGCTGACCGGCTTGTTGGACCCATGAAGATCCCATGAAGCACGAGGTGAAACGGAGAGGTGAAACCGAGGTGCGTTGGCACAAAAAACAGGGGTCGCCAGCTTCATGCGCTTGTTGTGGTTCACTTCAAGGATGGTACAGGGCTTGAACCCGCCATCAATCAGTGCTTTTGTTTGTTTTGTTTTTGTTTTTTGGTTAAAACAAAAACAGAAACAAAACACTTGAGCACGAATTTCCAAGCTAAAGCGTGCAACAGGATGGGTACGTGCGACTGATGCAACCTTCAGGTGTTCAACAGGTTCACTGGAAACAACTTGCTAGCTGCTAGCCCCTCTTTTGTGACCCCCAGTCACGCATGCGCTGTTTCACCTCTTGGCAAATGGTGCATATCATTTTCAGACACTGGAGGCCTGCGGCCTGCTCTCTGAAGTCAATTAGGGTTCTTTCCTTGGGTGCCTCTATCCATCAAGGGGGATTAGCAGGCTTTGCAAACCAGGTGCGTAGTACACGGCATTTTCATGTTATGTTTCTCTTTGACGAGGTTAGTTATAATTGTAAATCATGGAGATGTCGCATCATGGGAAGAAGTGGGGAAGAGGCGTTCATGCCTACGTGCCCTCGTGCGACTCTGAGCATAATTTGAGCTGGATTGCTGTTGGGTGGGTTTCGGCACTTGTTGCCCTAACTAACATGGCAGCTGACAGGAGCCAGACGTCTTTTGTTCTTTTGAGAAGGTCGCCAATGTCATCATGACTTTGCACATCGGGTCCCCGGATATGTTTGGTACTTAACCAACGGCCGTGCCTGCTGGACGTGAACCGTACTAGTTCATGAGTCATAGGTCTGGTTGTTGCTCCCAAATAGAACTTGACCGCTGTAGAATTCAATGAAGGCTGAGGTATGCTGGTGCTACAAAACGCGTCCTCAGCGAGGGGTGAGTTGGGTGTGATCCAAGATTGGATCTGGAGCCCTGCCGTTGGCTGGTCCTTGTGACTTGGTTTCCTTTGCTTCTTTGTTCCTTTGCGCTTTTGCAACCAAGGATCCCAGTGATCAGCCCAGCAAGGAGTCAGTAGCCCAGGGTGCCCCGGGCGAGGCATGTCCATGCCCCTGGAAGAAGTGGTGCACGTGCACAGTAGTCAATTGAAGCCACCTCAATCATTCCCAGTTGTTCAGTGGAACCCGTTTCCCATCATTTCCCCTTGTTGCGAGATCCCAAAAAAGGTCCCTTTTTTGTTCCCGCCAATCTCTCGAGGGAAGCCCCGAAGGGGTGCTCGCCCAATTGAAGCAAGCGTTGCAGGTTGCCGCAACTTAGCAGCGTTCCCTGGGCCAATTGCCATTGATTGCAACCAACGGCTGGGTACATGACAGGATGCAACAGCCGTGGTTGAAGGGGCAAAACCGTAACTTCTTGGTAGGTTGATGTGCATATAGGCCATATAGGCAAGCCTTTCGAGCATCTGCGCGGTACCAATCATCAACGTCAACATGCAGATTATCCGAACGTTGTAGAAGAAGCCCAATTGATACCACCTTAGACCAGCACGACTGCCGTCACCCCTTTAATGAATCTGATGTTCTAAACACATCAATGTTTACCAAATTATCATGTGCGTTTGCGGGAGTTCATTTTGGATTGCGTCAGGACGGTCAGGATTCAAGTCGTTCCCTTTGGTTGCTTGCATTGTTTTCTTTCCAAAAGGCACGGCGGGCCCACGGCCATTTGGATTCCCTGCTTCGGACGGGGCCCGGTGAATGCCTGAGGCTTTTCCTGGGAGACACCATTCCCAGCGAAACCATCGGCTTTGAGTCGGAGACCCGGACCGCGGAGAACATCACTGGGTGCCAAGTATATAATTAGCCGATAAGAGAACCCACAAAAATGGTGGCGTTCCTGTAGAGTTCTCGTTAAGCCGGGGGTATCCACAAAAATCCACTATGCTTCATCACAGTTCTTCATTGAACCTGATGAAAGCCAAAAGGATGGATATGTTTGATTTTCCGGACCAATGTTGCACACAGTTCAGATCAGCTTCCCGGATTTTGAAATAGTGACTTGGTAAGGTGCACGGGTATGCCGCGAACTAAAGGATTACTTTTCTGGGGAGGGGACAAAGCACCACACATGAGACTAACAGGTAGATCTGGCAATATGTTGGTGATAAGCTTAGAAGAAGCAGATTAGCTTTGAGAATTTGATTACTTGGATGAGACTTAGATCAGGATTCCACACTTGATGCTGGTGCAAACAGCCAGTCCGTTGCACTTTGCAACCACAAGCATTGACGTGCGCAAGCCCTGCGTTGCAGGCTGTCCTTGCGTCCAGACCTGAGAAACAAGAAGCAGTGTTAATAAAGAGGAAAGAACGGCAGAAAAGAAAGAAAGAAAGACACAAGGAAGGAAGGAAGGAAGGAAGGAAGGAAGGAAGGAAGGAAGGAAGGAAGGAAGGAAGGAAGGAAGGAAGGAAGGAAGGAAGACCAGCCTGCAAGAAGCACCCGGGCAGAACCACAATCAGCGTTCTAAAACCACCGGAAACATTTAGAAGGGGGGGGGCGGGGTCCAAACATCAACACGGCAGGCCATGCGCGATCATGCGTGATGCATGCAGGGATACTTCCGCGACCCATTTTGGCACCAGTAGGTTTGTTCAAGAAGCAAGGATGTACGCTTAGGCCTAGTTGTTTTGGGGCATTGGCTGCAGTGCAAGCCGGACCACAAAGTAGAAGCTGACTTGCCTTGGTACCAGTTCGCAGGTTTTGCCTCGTCTCTTGGTTCTAAACATGGCTTGCTGGCAACTGATTGATTATCTCCACGTTGATCGTGGACAAACCTGGCCTGTGTATTCCGAATAAATCAACTTGGCGTGTTGAAACTTGAGCTGACATTGCCTTTCATTTTCCCGCAATCGCATTAACCCGTCCTATGCCAAAGTCAAGTACGGCGAGCTTTCAGCATTGCCGGTGAAGTCTCAATATTTGAGTCCCACATGAACCACTTCTGGTTCATGTGCCTTCTGGTTCATGTGCCACGTTTTAGCACATGGGCCTTGATGATTTGCCACTTCTTGGATCCCAGTGACAAGTCGAGGCGCCGGGCGCAGCTGGACCATCAGGCGCGGCCTGCTGACGTTTCAGCCGTTTGTACTGCTTGATGTCCGCCAATAAAATCAGAACACGTGCGTGGGCGCACATCAATGCTTTGCCAACTGCCAGCATCGCCTGCATGAGACCGTCCGAGATGAGCTCCAACAGGAGCTTCACTGCAATGCGACATGAGACACTGCTCTTTTAGGGTTTGGAGTGTGCTCCACGGCTTGGCTCGGGAATCGGGTCTTGAGAGGCTAGCCCTAATTCAAACAAGCGCAGCTTGACCACCAAATCCACTGGACAACCGTGCACGATGTTATGAGCTCGACGCACTGCAATGGTCTAATTTGTCGTAAGCGTTGCCCGTATGACACAGTGGCCAACAGCCACGCACCCCCTTGTTTTAGAGCCTGGCACGTGCTGTTGTTTGCGCCATGGGGGTGTTTAGGGGTGGTCTTTGTGTTGACCTCGTGCCCAACCGATTTATTCTTTTGGCCAACTAACATGGCGAAGTGGAGCTCAAAAAGCAGGTGGGTTGGAGAGTGGTTTGCACCATTCCACGCCTGCATCCACGTACATGGCCGGGATTGCAGAAGCTCAGTGCCAGGCTGCTCCAACCCTATCGCACCACAGTGCTGGGGCGGTCGCTTCGATCTCAGGCGCAACGGCTGTCCGGTTTGCATCTCTCGCCTGGCAGGGATCACTCTTCTTGACTAGAGCGGACGAGGACGGGCCAAATTTCAAGCAACACTAGTTGCTTTGTGGGGGAGTCATGGCTACATAGAACTGTTAAGGGATGACGAGAGCTTGTTATCCGGGGTGGGAGCCCTATATATGAATCTTGACCACTTCGGTAGAACCAAAATTCGACGGGTTTTGGGCGCAGCCGTATGTTTTCCTTGTTCATTGCAGTAAAGTATGGCTTTCCCAAGGCACCAAACATGGCCGCGAGAGGTCGTGGGTGCCTTGCAGGCGGCATGGATTTATCACACAGGCTTACTGCACAGGATGATGCCTGACTAGATATGCAGGACGCTGCTCATATGTCTGGCGCCTTAAGCAAAATGCTACGAAGGGAGATTCGATCTCGCGACATGTCGGCCTTTACTGGTCTCAGAATGTGTCAGAGAAGAAATGGGTGAGCATCGGAGGGGGTGTTCACGAGCGCAGTGTTCCATGAGCGCTGTGCATTTCTCGCCGGTTTGTGACTCTACCAGGCTTTGCCACCCTGGACAAGCTCGGCATTGGTGGGGCTGCAGCCTCGATCGGACAGCTCTTGCCGCCGTCGATTTCGTCGGTAGTTCTAAAGCACGGACATGTGCATTTGTTTTGTGTTGATGAGTCGAGCGCATCTATATAATTGGTTGGCTTCTTGGTTTAAGGCTGCCGATTGAAACTTACCCATGGCATGCATTTATTTGATTGTCGTTGGCCAACCTTTGCAGGTGAAATTTGGAGTAAGAGCAGTGCTCGGCGGTGGGCTTCACATGGAAACCGGGCTTCCACTAAACTGGCGGATTTCAGTGCCGCCCAGCTTGCTTCAACCTAAAGGTAGGTGGATTTTAGAGTTTCGAAAGGAAACAAACATGTGAAGCAAGTCATTTAGAGGGGAGACAATGCAATTGACAAGCTATTTAGGGGAGACGCACAGTACCTCACAACCGGTGTGCTTGAGGCTTTTCAGAATGAGCCAAAGGCCACCCATGCTCAGGTGGATGTGGAGCTCAGCGATCCTGGGCAGCAGCCAAAGAGGCTCCGTTGGTCTCGACTTTGGCACTAGCGGTCGAAGCGTGTGGCTGCCTTTTGCTTGGATGTTTAAGCTTTAAACACTTGTTGGGAAGTCGTGTCCCTCCACACTAGCCGTGGCTGCTGGTACAAGTAGATCATTGCCGAAGGCGCACTCCAGCCACTGGCAAGCATATTTCCACGAGGTTGTGCCTGTTTTTGGGTGAGGGGGCGCTCGAATTGGAACGCCCACATGGGTGGGTCCTCCGGTTGGGCTCCCTTTGTCTACCTGGACCAGTGCGTAACTGGGGGTCTGTTCATCAATCCACACACCCCCAGGGTTGTCGGCGCTGTTAAGCGCGTGCCACCTCATGTTTGGTCCCGGCTGTGGTAAGATGCTTTTAGCGGCGGTTTGTGCCTCTTCCAGTCCATTGTGCAGTCACAAGGCCGCTGCTTCTTAGCAGGGGTCCGTTCCCTGCCACTGACAGCTGTGTGGCTGGTTCATGGTTGGTGGCAATCGGTGCGCACTAATATGTTGAAAAGAGCCTTACCGGCTTCTGTGTGGTGCATGTCCAATGTGCAGTTGATTGAAGGTTTGCCGTGGTAGACATCCCATCGACTGGCTCCTCTTCTGTCACCCAGCCTCGCGTTTGGGCGTTGCGTCGCAGATACGGGGAGAACCAGGGCAAGCAGCTGGGGCCCTTTGCTGGGGCCCTGGTTTTTTCCGGGGCTGGGGAATTTTCTGGGGATCGGCTAGAAGTTGGGATGTCCGATTCCCCTCTCTGTGATTCCCCTTGACATTAAGGATGGCACGCCAGGAATGGGCCGGAAGTTGGGATGGATTTCAGATTCCATCCGATTCCCCTTGTGACATGCGAACAGACTTACGACTTTCAGAGGAATCTGTGCTCAACGCGCCCTTGAAGCATGATGCTTACACTACACGCGGCCTCAAGGCAGACAGCGTACCGTTTCAGCGTAGCCTTTTCGGCTCGCTGCGCTCATGTCGCTGTGCCCATGGAGGAGTGATGACTGATGACTTGTGTTGGGCATGGGAAGCATGACAGGGAGCTCTTCGCCACAAGCGCGAACAGCTAACACGAGCTGTTGCAAATCGTTGTTCCCTGACAAAGCCGGTCAACAGGGGTCCCCCAATGTTCATGTTTTTTTGTTTTTCAGGTTTATGCTTGGTGTCTTGAATGCGTCCAGCTGCGCCACGAAGGTGGATGTCCATGGAGACGGTTGCCGTGTGATCTCATATCTTTTTTTTGCAGATACACCAAGTACCTGTGCGTTGAAATGCAACAACTCGGGTTGCACGGAACCCCTGTTGTACTGCGTTTAAAGATGCTACTTGGATGTTGGAGGGCCACATTTGGCGGCAGCTTTCAAGATAAGCACACGGACAGCATGAGCATCCGTGGCTATTCTTCAGGGGTGTTAATGGCTGTGCCATTTTTTTGGGAAGCGTTTGAACCGTGCTGGCATTTCAGGCGCAAACATGAAGACTTTAAATTCCCCAAAACGAACGTCTTGACGCCTTCTTAACGTTGCCTGCCCACATGTAAGTTACGTTCACCACCATTCAAAGATGTTTTTGGTAAGAGTCCCACTTTCTCGGTGCTGCCGATGCCCCCCAAAGAAACGAGGCCTTGGCCCCAAACCTCTTGCCGGATTTGGCGCCCGCGTTTGTCCCTTCGCAGGAGGAAGACTCGAGCAGCGCCCACAGCTCCGATGAGGAGGGGGACGAGGAGGCAGTGGAAGGCGCGGAAGGGGGTTGGCCGGGTTGATTTAAATTTCAGGGGTCCTTCCGTTTCCCTTTTTTTTTAAGGACCTACAGCGCGCATTCACTGGAACCCACCAGTGAATTCGGGTGTCTTGTTTTTTTTGGGGGTTAATGGACTCAGACCTTGGATACTGATAGCCCTGGGTGTTGACCCCTTATCAATATCCCCCCCAGCTATGCAAGATTCTTATAGATCATTAAATGATCAAGGGTTCCCTGTTTAGTGGGGAGTCACAATTGTTTTTCATCGCAACGTTACTTAGGGGTTTTAAAAGGGTCAATCTTATCCTAAGCAATATCGTTTTGGCATGTGATTTTGTATTTGATTGTAGTTTGCTGTGTTTGCCTAGCATGTTTGATCTACGCATATGCTAGCCCCCCACATGCTCATGGTGAAACTCAACACCTGGAATTGAATACTTGTTGCGCTCTCACTGAACGGGCCAATCCAGAAAAAGGTCCTAGAAATCAACTTGGAAATATGCACAGAACACCTTTGAAGGGTAAGTGCCTGGATTTCTTTTGGGCGGAGGGATTCTCAGTTTTTGTTGGGTGGGGGGGGTCTGGGTGGTTGACCGGCACCTAGGCCGCAGGCAGGCGAGACTGCTGCGGAAGCTGCTAACAGAACAGGAGGGCTCCGTGCTGAGGGCCTGGCGGCGGCGCGGCAGAGGGGCTTTAGGTTTTTTAGAGCCCCAATGGGCGTGGCTCAATATTCGAGAAATAGGGTTACGCAGGTGTTGGGCTTTGTTTCCATTGGCCAGATTGCCAGAGTGCCATATTTTGGGGATTCCATGTTTTGAGCCACAGCCAAATCCACAGCTGCAGCTCGCCCCTAAGTTACGAGTAAACCCTTGTACTGCTGTCGGGGATCAAGGATCCCTCCCACGTGTTGAACTCAGCTTGCGGACAGTCACGAATCCGCCCGGGTATGGCTTTCTTCCAAATAAGAATCCTTCAGCTGCGTGGTTTCCTGCAGTTCTCTAACCATGACGCAAAAGGAGGACCCTCAAGAACAGAACCCACCCCCCATGTGGGCCAAGGTGTCTTAGTTTGGGTTTGTGGGGGGTGCGGGGGTTGGTTTGGGCTGCCATGGCTTGGTATGGCGAATGCTGTAGCCACACACAAATCTGACCCTTTTGAGGTAAGCATGCTTGAGAAGTGTCTTTTCCTTCAGGGCAAGCATTGACAGGGTCCAGCCACATCACGAGCACGCAGATTTCGGTGCATGCACGTGCAATTGTTTTCGCCAACAATTAACTGCATGTCCTTCTCTTGTTTGTCGCCCGCGGCCGCCTGTTCTCTCAGGAAGGTCTTTGATGTGCACGGGGATGGCCGCATCAATGAGTTCCAGTTCATCCGGATGCCCGCTTGGTCAGTACCCATGGGTGTGTGGTGTGTGTGTGTGTGTATTTGTTTTGTGTTGTTTGTTTGTTTGTTTGTTTGCCTGCCTGCCTGCCTGCCTGCCTGCCTGTCTGTCTGTTTGTTTGCTTTCAAGGGAAACCGAAAGCAACACATATTGGGTGTCCCCCCTTTTCTGCACATACTCGTGTCCCTGGTTTGCTGGGATTCCCAGTAATGTTGCCCTCAAAGTCTCAATCAAGGCTCCACCAATGATTTGTTCAGAAGGGTGTTTCACAGATTTCAGCGGCCACGAGATCGATTTCCACGCCTAAGGATGTGTCGCCAGAGCTTCCGGCACTTCCTGGGGGATCCCGCACAGGTCTTCAAGTCTTTGGACGACGATGGGTCCGGTGAGCTCACCCTGGAAGAGCTGCTTTCACAAGACGGATTGACATGGGGCCCAGACAAATATCCTTGAAATCTCTGTTTGGGAAGGATCTCCTCTTTGGCTTCCATGTGAATTTGCAGGGTATTTGGTTTTGGCTGATTTTGCAAGAGTTGGCCTGTCTTACATGATGAGATTTATGGGTCGTCGCTTGCTGTGTTCTTCAGGTTAGTAAGTGTTTGTCGTTTTGCGGCCTCGTGGACTACCTCTACCTGATAGTTTTAAGGAGTTCCCAATGTCGCCCGTTCTATGTTAGGAGATTGGGTTCCAGGACATTTGGGGACCTGTCATTTGCTATTTGTTCACCTGTGGTTTTGATTCATGGCCCAATGATGATCCAGCCTGGACATACGAGGCTGGATCCCCAGCAGAACGACCTTTGGAATGCCTTCATGGAGTGGTGCACGGATTTTTGGCCGCAAAGGGCAGATCGTCCACGCCGTAGCATCCACATTTTGGGGCTCGCTTAGGTCGAGCTTTGGGGACCTTTCTAAGGGCCGTGATTTTCAAAGCAGCGCCAGGGGAGAATGCATGTAAGAAAAGTGAACTCAACGTTCGAATCTTGCGATCTTACTTGCCAAGTCTGCGTCGGCCACTGATACTGAACATGCGGACTGCAATTCAAATGTTTTGCAGACGTGATGTGCTCAAGGCGGGGCTGAAGGTGGGGCTCAAGGAATCAGCAGAAGGGATGCGGCGGTCTGGGGCGTGGACCGTACAGACCTATAGGTGGATGGCCGCGAAATCTGGCAACCCCAGCAGAGCGCACAAGGCATTGAGTATTGACCGAGAGGCACGTCCAGCACCCAGGCCTTTGTTCATGCAGAACCGCCTGTGTTTGAATCGGGCCAGATCGCAAATACTTCCAGCCACAGCTGCCAGCCCGAGTGCAGCCCCACATTTTGTCAAGCTTCCTCTTCCTGCGCAAAGCGCCTCACTTGAGATGTCCACCGTTGGCTTGTTTCTTAGTGCCTCTGAGGACTCTTTTCCCAGCGCCAGCGACATGATTCAGAAGCTCGCACCAAAGGCAAACGAGAAGAAGGCCAATGCCAAGGAGTTTGAGGCCCGGACGTCAGACGCTGATGCCATGCCTGACCTTGAACCTGGACAAATCCTCAACCCAAACCCATCCCGTTTATTGCGGGGGGCATCCACAAAAGTGACGGACGACTAAAAGAGGGACAGCAAAATCAACCAGGGATGTATTTATCGGTGGTTAATGTTTCCCATGGATGCCCTCTGCAACCCAGAGGTTTGACATGCTGCTTTGGCATGCGGCCGGGGCACAGCCTTGGGTAGCTGTGTGCGACTATTACGCGTACACACGTTGTACATGTGTAAGTTGCCTTCGGTACTTTTTAGCCAAGGCAGGGTGTGTTCATTTTATTTTATTTTAGATGTGTTGCATCTATCCATTAAAAGCCCGGCCAGGCAACATGTTGACTGTTTGTTGTCTTAGGCCAGGCTGCCTCTAGAAGCCCAATTTGGGTTGGATTCCCCCTCGTTGGAAGCGGATGCCAACTAGAACAGCTTGTTTGACTGTCACACCTTTTTCGATCCTGTTGCTGCCCAAGGTGCCGCCTTTTGAAGGATCTATCGAAAAGGCCCTACTTTTGACAACCCCGCCCCACATGATGTGCCATGTTGCCGTTCAGCAAAGCTGCTGGCAAGTGGCAAGCAGTGCGTGAAGCTATAGCCATCCTGCCGCAGTCTAATGTTGGCCGGACGTGACGTATATCGAGTTGTGCGTTTCTGGAAACAAAACAGCATCAAGGGATGGGGAAACGCCTAGCTCACCATGGCTGATGTTGTCTTGGCTCCAACAAATTTCAACGCAAAAGCCATGAGTTCCACAGGAGGGCCTGGTGAAGTTCGGGTGGACGGTTGGCTCGGAGCGGCTCCTCTTCGCAGCTTTGGATCTGCGTGGGGAGGGGAACATCGAGCCTTCGGCGCCCCGGTGATCAAAAATCCTGCCAGCGAGTCGCCAGGTGGGTTTGTCTCAAAGGGGACCCCGAAATGGCTGAGCTTTTTGCCTTTTGGGTTTCCTGTAAAGCCGTCCAAACAGGGTACCCTCAAGAACAGACACACCCGTGTAGATCCTTGGGAATCGTTTATTTTGCGTGACTTTTTTTT